ATACTTATTTGAATCCATTAAATATTTAAATAAAAGTAAAATTATTTTGTAGAATTATTTATTTGAATCCAGTAAATACTTATTTAAATTCAGTAAATAATTATTTGAATGCTATTTACTCATTTGAATTCTGGAAATATTTATCTGAATGCAATAAATACTTCTGAAAGTACAGTAAATATTTATTTGAATGCTATTTACTTTCTTTGAATCCAATAAATATTTTTCTGAATGCAATAAATAATTATATATAAGTAAAGTAAATATTTATTTGAATGCAGTAAATATTTATTTGAATCTAATAAATATTTATACAATTTTAACCCGTTGCCTTTTAACGACCCAACGTTGGGTCGTGAAAGTTTTAGCAAAAAATAGAAATTTGTTATTTAAATTATAAAATAAATTCTTTCATATCATTATTCACATACTATAGGTATTAATGATACTAGAAAAAGTAATAAATAAATAATTGTTTATTATTTTTAAATAATATAACAATTTAAAAGATTTTGATGGACATTTTGAGGCACTAAAATGAATATTTTTCCAAACAGCGAAGGGGTTAATAAATATTTACTTGAATCCAATAAATAATTATTCAAATCCTATAAATATTTATTTGAATCCTATAAATGTTTATTTGTACCAAATAAACTTACATTTGAATAAAATATATTTTAATTCCATCAGTAAAATAGTCTTTGCTTCAAATGCAAAAAGTATTGATTCGAATAGAGTTTATTTGATCTCGTTAAAAATTCTTTTGTTTCAAGTAAAGATTTACTTGATGATAAGTTAAGTAATTCATTTTTTGATTCAAATAAGTACCTAACTGGTGCCTTGTTAGAATGGTAAATTTTAAATAGGGAAGAGTGGATCAATTTCTGCACGAAAAATAGCAATTCAAATAATTTTTGTTACAAAATTATTTGTTTCATTCTACAAATTCCTGAAAATTATTTTAAATAATATGAAATAAATTTAAAAATTTCTAAAAACAATATAAAATAAAATAAGTTTAAAAATTACTAAAATTTATAAATCAATCAATAATTTAGAATATTGTTATCTCCAAATTATTATAAAATATAACAATTGGATAATGAATAATATTTAGAATTTCTGTACTGAATTTAGTAATATTACTGGTGTTTAAATATTTATAAATTAATAATAATTTAATTCAAAACAGAAAGAACTTGTAAACATTTTTTTATCGATTTATCACTTATTTCTTTTCTTCGATATAATTTTTTCCCGAGTCCATAATTTTGTATATTTAGTTTATAAATGCTGATAAATAGCTATAAATGAAAAAGTGACTGATTCATTTATAGAGAATGAAATAACAGAAACGAGAACGCGGTTGAGAACAGTTTGCTGATGAGCGGCCATTTTTACGTTTTGTTCAGGCTCTTTGTGTTTTGGTGAGACATTGCAGGTCTGCCCAACACTCAACTCATTATACCACTAATTATTCAAAACGCTAGGGATTATTCTGATGAAAATACTCAATTCCCACAGTGTACCCACTACACTCTTCTCTTTCTTCTTTCCTGTTTTTATATTATTCTTTCTTTATTCATCCCCAAGACCTCGTTTTTCATCGCTGAGCTTATCTAATGCCAGCCTCTCATTGAACGAAACAATTAGCCGTAATTTTCTTCTTCTTTTTTTTTTAAATGAAAAGATTCGTTGCTTCTCAACGTGTTTGGTTTTTTTTTTTTTATTATTGAAAAGGGAATATAACTGCGCTGTGTATATAGGTATATATATACTGTTAATATATATATATATATAATGCACCGTCTTTGGAAAAACATTTCATTGATGATGAGATAATAATGGGTAATTGATTTGAGACTCGAGAATTTTCAATAATAAACCTCGCCAATTGGAAAGATTTCTTTCTTTAACGATGAGGGATATAAAATAACTCGAAATTTTTATCACTTTGCTGTGTTCAATTGTGTTGGTTTATAATTGAGTTGGATCATCAGAACTAATGAAGGAACGAAACCATTGATGAAGTTATAAAGAAAATTTGCATTGTAGTTGAAAAAAGTTGAAGAAAAAATCACTTCATTGTTCGTTAATATCGATTTCAATTGTTTGCATATAGAAGTTCTGAAATATTTATCATTATTATTCACTTTCTTTACTATTAATTACAAAATGATGTGTTGCAAAAGAAAAACGAAATTTTTTATTCAATTATTAAATTTTATTTTAATTTTCCCAATATTGTAATTTTTATAGATGTGAATGCATTGGAAAATGAATTGTGAACAATAAAAAACATATAATAGATGGATGGGCATACTATATGTACTGAAAAGTGTAGTGTGTAACAATAGAGAAAGAGGGCAGATGCAGTTCAAGTGTGAAATAGTTTCCGTAAATTGTCTGACATCTGAACACACGACCCCGATTGTGGATCTTGAGGAGACAAAAGTTGATAGAATAAAAGTTCGATTTTCGGTAATTCGATCTTGAGTGGCCCTCTGTTAAGTGATAGCCATAAATGGCGTGTTAAGTGCTCGTTTCACGCAACACTGATACACCTATAAATTTACTTTAGCCTTCTGACTCAGGGGTCGTTAGCGTTAGTGTATTGGTGCATGGTATATTGATTTTGTGATAACATCTTCATGATAACATGAAGATCCTTTACGGTGAATTTAAGCCGATGAATATTCCTGGTGTAACGTATATATAATATAACTATAGACAATTCCATTAGGCGACAAAGATTCTAAATGAACCTCTATATACTCTTTCTGACTGTATATTATTTCCTTTCTCCATATTCTTTCTTTTCTCAATTTTCTTTCTTTTCTCTATATTTTTTTCCATTTCTCTATATTATTTTTTTTCTACACTTTTTCCTTGTTTATATTTTTTTTCTTTTTCTATACTATTTCCTTCTCTATATTCTTTCCTTTTTCTATAGTATTTCCCTTCTCTATATTCCCTTCTTTTATTACTCTTCCTTTATTCTTTCATCTTGAGTTCTATTTCGAATGTTTAAAAATTATTTGTTTATTATTTGTTGCAATTTATTTACTCTCTTTTTTACAACAATGCATAATTTAGGTTTTTTATTAGAAAATGATCTCAAAAAGCAAATATTATGCAAAATTTTTAATGCATTATGTATCAGTATACGTAACGTTTACTATTGTATATACTATATACAAAATAGAATTTATAGTTTAGTATAAAAAAGTAGGAAGAGCAATTAGTGAGGAATGTGCAACTTGGTAGGTGACGAACATCTTTTGAGTTTTTATTTCGGCCTAATCGTTAATTTTCAAAATAGTTTGTAGAGTTGCTTAATTTATTTGTAGGATATGCTTGGAATTGTATTTACATATAATCTGAAATTGAGTTGGGTGGATGAAGGAATTCGAAATGTACTATATTTTCAGTAGTAGATGATTGTAAATGCGGACTGTGAGGGTTGAACGATCTGTATTGTAAGTTGAACACTTCGTATTGATAGTAGTATAGAATTTGTAAATTAGTGATGATGCAAATTGCAAATAGAAATTGGGGAAATCTACTTCATAAAACAATTTATAGTTTACTAGTTTGAAATTTATATTGCAAATGGTACTATCTGTAAATTGTTGATGTTTCAAAATCTGTAAGCAGCAACTCATAAAATCTGTGATGAAAAATTCAGGAACGAATGCGAATGATGTCATCCGTTTTACGAATTGCACAATCCGTATTACAAATAACATTCTATTAAAAATTATGTAAGTCATACTGCAAATGTTGGAACATTTTTATTGCAAATGGCACAACTCTTATTGCAGATGATGCCATTTGTGTAAAAATGATAGAATTTAAAGTGCAAATGATTGTACAATTTGTATTAAAAATGATACTAACATCAGTAAGTTCCAAATACAAAATTCCTTAGTGCAGATGATGCCCTTCGTCAATTTTTTAAAAACTATACAGTGTCTACTTCAAATAATGGTACAATTTTTATTACGAATGGTACAATCTATGTAACTTTTTATCAGTACAATTCAAATTACAAATTGTACAATCTGCAAGTTTCAATTGGTACAGTAAAGCTTACAAATATTTTACACTTGAAATTGTTCCTAAACAGTGGAGTCAACAATAATTTTATTGTTTAGAAGCATCTTCAAGGCAAAAGGCATAAAATTGCAGATGCCATCCTTTAAAAATGGTACATTTTCCTACTACAAATAATGACAATTTGTAAATTCCGAATTGTGTATTGCTAATTGCAGATGATGCCATTTATTTAAAAAATACAATTGCAAACTACAATAATAGTGGTAAAATCTGAATTAAACTTATTTCAAATGATGCAATCCGTATTACAGATAGTACAATCTAATTTTCAATTTTAAAGCTTACAAATATTTTGTACTTGAAATTGTTCCGAAACAGAGGAGTTAACAATAACTTTATTATTTAGAAGCAACTTCAAAGAAAAGGCATAAAGATTCTAGTGTACAATTCGTATTACGTCTGATTAATAAAAGTACAGTTCATACTGCAAATAATAGCATTTGTATTATTGGTACAATCTGTAAATTTTAGATCGTACAATCCGTGATGCAAATGGTTAGAGTACTACAATAATGCATTATAATGTTGTACTCGATTCAAACAGAAAATGATATTGACTAACCTTTATAGATTATAACAAATGCAAAACTCAATTGTTTAAATCCAAAATTTACGTTAGAAACAGTATCGTGTACGTGTACAATTGCAAATTTTAGACATGAATGCACACAGTGTGCAATTATGCAAATGAAATCATTTCAGAGAATATAATAGGGGATTTCGATATGCTCCGCGATTATATCCGGATATGAAGATAATTTGATAATTTCTACTTTGGATTATATATGTGTATTCATTTATGATGAGCACTAAACATAATGAGCAGTTCCATAAAGTTAATAACAATAACAAGAATAACAACAACAACAACAACCTACCCTGAGGAGGTGTATGCTGACTGGGACTATGTTGATTGTGATTGGCGGACAAGGCAGTGCCCGAAATTACATGTTGCGCATGTGTAGCCGGATGCACATTGACACCAGGAGACGGAAGTTGGCCTGGCTGATGTACCTGATGATGAGCAACATGATGCGCCGGATGGGGATGCGGTGGTGGTAAAAAAGCCGCAGCGACGGCCGCTTGGGCATTCAAATATGCCATTCGCGATGCCGTTAAATTGCCCAGATTGCCAAGATTTCCTATTGTGCCCAAATGATTCGTCAGGGATGGCATGTAGTCCCATAATTTATGATGAGACGTCGCCGGGGCATAGGAGACGGCCGACACTCCAGCCGGTGGTGAGCCTTGCGGTGATCCTCGATCGGCACCGCTACCATTTAAGCCGAGCAGCTCCTGGATCGCGAATGGCGATCGCTGCGGCATTTTCGTTACTTTCGGATGAATCTTGATGGATTAAATTAACATTTCACAATTGAAAATTAATTAAAACTGTTTTTCACCCCGCGGAAGCTACTTTCGTAGCAAACACGGAGTTGCTATTGCTTGTAACTTGATTTTCATGTTCTAAATAATAAATTCGAAAAACTTATATTGTTTACGTTAATCAAAAAAGTAGAATGTTAATCACACTATGATTTTTCGATTTGAAAAATTTTCTATTAAACTTTGTATAGTCATTTTATTAAAACAGGACACAAATTCTAAGTATTTTCGTAAATTTCCATTGTTTCAAAAATCGTAATGCAATCCAGTGCAAATCCGAAGCGACGGCTAGATTCGCGACTTTTTGGCGAGCGACGGCAAACCTCCGGAATGTCTACCGCGAATGTTCACTCCCACTGCATAGAAAATTTATCACCAATTTCAAAATCTACCCCTTCGTTGATTGATTAGTTTCGTTGTAATCAGGTACAGTTATATTTTTTCAATTTTCTAGTAAATTTTCTCTTCCCTAAAGGAAGGACATCTTAGAATACATTTCGATTCAAGTTTCTCTCTTATTCTTTAAATAAATACTCAATAATCTAAATCTAATTAGAGCACATTGTCACAAGTGACATTTTCGTTGAATACTGTCCAGTGAATTCCAAAACTCTCTAATACATCTGGATGATCCTTCAAGGATTGACGCACACTTCTCGACTACAATAATATAATTCTGAGCTCCAAAAACCTGAATGGTCTTATTTCTGCCGTTAAGTGAGACAGCGTTCTTTAAGGGATACCTGAGCCTTTCATCCGCGTTGCAAAAAGATCGGATTTCAGAATTGAACGTCCCCAGATGCCTTTGCGCTATCCTCATTTATGTGCATATAGAGATTCCTCAACATTGTCGATGATTCATCACTGATCCACTCTATATTTTCCAATCTTGATCACTTATTATTATCACACTTTATCAGTACGAGCGATAAAAACTTTTGTCACTTTTTGTCAAAAAGTTAAAAAAAAATAACAATAAAATTTTGTCACACATTTGCGGCAATTGGGATTTGTTTATGCGGTAAATTCGTTGTTGATGAGAGTTCGGACCCGTGGTTAAGAATCTAATAAACGATTTGAAAGGTAAATAAAAAATTGTCTAAAATATAATTATGTGTGATGTGTCCGTGTCGTAGTCGCGACGATATGCAACTGAAGAACCGTCACGTTGGGGTGGCTTGTCGTGGGTAAGGATAGCAAGACAAGGAAAGTCAGGGCAGGGAACCCCCGGAAACGGCTGCTTTTGCCCGTCGCGACGACCCGCGGGCGCAAGGGTGGGGATCATGATGTTAGTCGGTGTCGCATACATACAGGCGCCCACAGTCGCGCCTACTTTAGGTACCCAGTAGTGGCCGTCTCGCATCGCGGATTGGTCCGTTTTTTCAAACCAGCATCCGGGCAGACATAGCCCTATTTAAATCTAGAGGAGGTTCTTCGATCGTTTACGCCTGTCGTGTACACGCCTACAACAGCACGTTTCACCACGCACAAATATTTTTCGAAAAATGTATTCTTATCAATTTTCTGTTAATGAACCTTATATTCCAACTGTTTTTCTGAGGGGATTTTTTCTTTCGTTTTTTTTCTACCAATTTTTTTTTCTTTCTATCTAGTTTCTTCTATCTGTTTGTCTGTCTAACTGTCTAACACTGTGTCTAACAAAAAGAGGGTAATTGTATCGAATTAATTAAACAAGTGTTTTTATAGATAATTTAATTATTTGGAGGATTTGTTAGAATTTTGTTTTTGATGAATTTCTGTGAAAGCAGGAAGAAAATTTGGAGAGAAGAAGGTTAAGTTTTAAGGCTTTTTTAGGGGATAAATTGTGAGAGATAATAGCAGGGCCATCTGTTGGTTTAGTAAATTTTAGCGCCATTTCAGTAAATTTTACTGTCTGCATTTATTATTTAGGTTTTAACCTACATGAGAGGAGTGGAAAAGAAAATTATACTATATATAGTCTAAGATAATTTACTTAGATCCGGCAAAGGCCTTGGTGGCATGTGGACTAACTATAAAATCCCATTAGTAAGAAAATGATGCAGATATGTCTATCCTTTTCTTAGGAATGAACTTTTTTAGTTCGTCCACATGCCACCAGGACCCTTGCCGGATCTAGGTAAATTATCTTAGCAATAGTAAAATATTAGGTAAAAAATGTCCACAGTTTTTTATATTAATTAATTATATGGCTATTATTAATTAAAATTTAGTATTAATATTAATTAAAATTTAATATTAATATATTAATAATATTTATATATTATTTATTAAATTTATATTTTTTAAAACTTCGCGCCAAAACAGTTCATAAAATTCCCGCCCAGATGGCATGAAAATTCGCTCATAAACGAGATGAAATGATGAGTCGAGTACATGATTCATAACAGTATATATAAAATTGAATTGTTCCCATTCAAAAAAATTCTACAAAATTCTATTAAAATGATTCGATAGAATAATTGTATATATAAACTCAATAGTGAACATTCTATATTATATAGACTTTCTCTGGAATTTATTTGGTACGATGTTATACAATTAATCTTTTAATTAATTATATATTATTAATATTAATATATTATATCAATTAAATTTTTCCCTTTTTTGAATTTCGCGCCAATATAGTTCATTTAATTGCCGCCTAGACGGCATAAAAATTCGCTCATAAACGAGATGAAGTGAATGGAGTACATGAATAATATTGTGAATTAAAATACCGTCAACCGGGGCTATTTTGTGCACCAAATAGCTTTTTTTTATTCAAAGATTTATATAAATTCAGAATTAAGAGAATAAAGAACATCAACTTTTGATATATGTTGTGGACATCCTTCTGAAGCTTTCCTATAAATTTGGCAAAGAAAAAAATTTTTTTGTCTTAGTTATAGTCATTGAAAGTTGTGCACACAATAACTCCCGGGATGGGGCTATTTTGTGCATCGAACTTTGTTTTCCTATAATGTTGCATAAACATTTTTTTAATTGTTTCTGCTTCATAAAATCTTTTGTGTATATATTTGAGAGTAAGTTAAAAAAAGAATGACCTAGTAAAATCTTTTTTGTAGATATATTATACAAAAAATGTAAAATAAAGCACTAAAATTTTGCTAAAATCTGAACAAACTAAAAATTAACAATCTTTCTTTAAATTGTATATTACGCAGATAGTAAATAACATTTTTTTCTTTTTTAATATATATTTTATAATAATATACTAATATAATTATAAAATGATCGTTTAAACACTTATAAATAACTTTAAAACATCATTTCAATAGGAGCTTTTTTAATGGTTTTGAATGATATTTTTAAAAAACTTGAAATAAATATTTTTAAGGTTAAATAGATAACAATGTAATATCTAATATGCTTTTCAAGTTATTTTAAGAGAAACGAGAAAATAGTTTTAAAACTAATTTTAAAAACTTATAAATATTAATTAATGTTCATTTTTTGAGGTTACGTTGTGCACCGATTGAGCTTTTAATCGTTTTAATGATTTTAATTAACGTATTTACAGTTTTTTGACAGAAAAGTAAGACAAAAATGTATAAAAATGATAAACAGAATCTTCTTTACTTACTAAATAAAATATTTATGAAAAATATTTGATTTTTTTAAGTGCACAAAATAGCCCCATGGAATCCTGGTTTTTCAGTTTTTTACACTTTTCTCTTAAAATAATGAATAAAAAGTTAGCGCATTACGTATGTATCATCACAACACAATTGAAAACAAATGTCTAACACAGTTTATGAGACACATTAAAACTCTAGAAGATCTGGTATAATTTTTCCGAACTTTCAAAATTTTTAAACAAATTTTCCGTTTTTAGAAATTTTTTTCTCTTAATTACCAAAGAATTAAATAATGACATTTAGTGCTCTCTATTGTCATGTAATCAAACTTTCATTTTACAAAATAGCAGATTAAAATAATTCATTTTAATAATTTTTTTTATTAAAAAACTCGCGTGCACAAAATAGCCCCCGGATGCACAAAATAGCCCCAGTTGACGGTAATTAATAAGTTATGTTTAATAATTAAATACTTGTGACGCGCTCCCAAGAAAGGTACCTAAGAAGCAAACAATTTGAGGTTATGGTTTAAATTTTTTGAGTAAAAATACAGAAAGAGAATCAATTATTAATTAAAAATGGTTGGTCTTCAAGTCTTCATTATATTCAAAATATTCAATGAATATTATGGTTTCAAATTCAAATAATTAAAAATGAACTTTTAATCAAGATAAATCTAACTTGAACCCAACTTATAATTCGTTTGCTTCTTAGGTATACCTTTATTGGGAGCGCGTCAAAAATATCTTTTTCTACAAAAAGTTCATTATAGATTTCTTGTAGGAATTAAATATAATTATTTTAGTAAAATTCTATAAAAGGTTAACTATAATAGATTTTTGTAAAATTTCTATTCTATATACAATATTTTTGACTGGGGGTTTCAGTTTTAAAATGCATAACATTATAAATTACAATAATAAAAAATTGTAAATAATTCTTATTAATGGATAAAATCAGATAAAAAAAGTGGCGAGTCGAGAAAGCTTTTGATACAATTTCATGAAATTCTATCAAACTTTTTCGACATTTTTGACTCTAATATAGAAAGAAGATTTTATAGAATTTAGTCTACAAGAAAAATCTACTAAATTTCAATAAATTTTAATTTTGAAAAATATAAAACTCGTGAAAAATTTTTTTTAAACTTAAATTATTATGTATAAATGAATTTTATACCTGATTTCAATGATAAATTTTACGAAACAAAGATTAACACTTGAATTTATCGGGTTTCTTGAATTTATTAAGAAAAATATTATAATGTTTAAAAGGACTATTTGGTGGAACTTTTATTTTTTGTATTAAGGTTTACTAAAATTTAGTATAATTTATGTAGAAATCTCAGTAAACTAAGAGGTGTTAAAAAAAGGTTCAATTTTTGGATCAATTTTTTCCATGAAAAAAATATGTTTTAATAAAAAATCAAGTCATTTTTAAAAAAATTTTCATATTAAAGAGTCCTTTAATGGATTATTTTAATTCTTGATGCACTAAAGCTTTGCATAAATTATTTTAATCCATTTTGGTATTAAAATAATACCTTACAATTTTTTTGTGTATTCTATATATATAGAAATGGTTATAGTGAAAGTCTATAAAACTTTTTCAGTTGATTTAGTAGAAATAATATTTATTTCTTTTTTTCAATCTCTTTCACCTTTGATATTAATATTTAGCATTTTTATATATTTATTTTTTTCTTATATTTATTTTATCCATTTCTTTTTGTTTTTAAATCAGTAACCTATCTCATTTTCAACAATGTTTACTAGAATACGTATACATAAAAATTGTATAGAAATATTCCTGTGAAGTTCTATAGAGTAAAATTAGAGCTCTCCAACGTTATATTATTATTTTATTAACATTACATATTATAATATTATTTCCAACTCACTTCTCTTCCAAATTTGTTAAATTAAAACTTGAAGAGCCAAAGGCAAATATCTACCAGCTCTATAGTAAATTTTCTTTCCCACTCCTTGAATTTTAACCTATACGAGAGAAATGGTAAAGGGAAAATTACTAAAAGAAATTTTTGATTTTCTCCCCATTTCTTGAGATTCATAGATAAGAGGTTATCTGTCCCACTCCATAAGCCTTCGATTTGCGTGCGACTATAGATATTTTTTGACACTTTTTCCACTTTATACAACTATTTAGTTAATATTTTTATAAATAAGTTGCTAATGACACTTATTTTGTTAGAAACGCCATCTTAAATCGAAATTACAAATATTAATGTATGTATAAGAAATTAATCCTAAAACTATAAAAAAAATTAAAGATCATAAAAATATCGCAAATAATAGTAAATTAAAACTTGAAATTTATTTATATTAATTGTTAAACTCCCTAGATTCAATGTTTGATTGTAAATAATTATACAGAATTAAGAACATCTTAAGATACAATATGGAGATGCTTCTCTCCACCTGCGAACGCCAAGGCCACCGTTAGATGGCAGTTCGGTTGAGTAAATCAGATTTCTCGCTACCTAGTGGCGATCTTGGCGCAAAGCGGCTGTGCGAACAGTTTTTTCCCGCTGTCAACATAACCTCTAAATTTCTAATTTCAATCCCGTAATCAACCCT